TGTGAGAAGGCTTGCCCTTCAGTTTGTTGAGGTAAGGTCATATAAACCTTTGGAAGAACTTCAGTACTTCGAGTCTAAAACAGAAGAGCTCTTTGGTAGTGAAAGTGATAAGGTCAAAATCAAGATGAGAAAGAAAAGAGAAGGGAAGGAGGTAGACAAAACATTTTTATTTAGATTTTAAATAGATTATTTCTTTTAATGCCTTATAATTTAGTCTCAGTACAGAGTTGCTAGGTAGAATAAAAATATTAAATAATATTAGAAAACATTTTTTAATGCTTTCTAAGGACTTCATATATATTATGTTGTTTACTTCTCACACACAAAAAAGAATTAGAAAGCTTTTATCACCCTATTTTACAGATTTAGAAACTGAGACTCAGAAAAGTTAAAGAACTTCCCCCAAATCCAACAACTAATTAGTGAAAAATCCAATATTTAGATTCAGTTCTGTTTGGCCTCAAAGCTCATGCATTTAATCCCTCTGCTCTATCGAAGCTATGAAACCATTGGTAAACATTGAAGAATGCATTAGTTTTACTGCTGCTGGAAAAATGTACCACCAATCAGAGCTTCGAACCAGTTCATTGCATTTCCATATACTGAATCGTAATCTACATTTTAATAAGATCCCCAGGTGATTCTTATGTATAACTTTCTGGGAGCTTATTACGAATGCAAATTCTCAGCAAGAAATCGTTAGAAATGAAAATTCTCAGCAGGGTTCAAACCAGAATGAACAGATCAAAGCCCTATCACAAATTGTGGCTTAAAACAATACCCACTTATTACCTTCCAGTTTCTGTAGGTCAGAAATCTGGGCATAGCCTGGTTCAACTTGTTTCTTTGCCTAAAGTCTCACAAGGAGAAAATCAATGTATTCTACAGGGACAAAGTGCTCCTTGGGGCTTAGGGTCCTCTTCCAGGCTTACTGGTGTTGGCAGAATTCATTTCCTCCTCTCCCTTTCTGGGTGATCCCCTTTACCATCAAGCCAACAGCAGCAGGTTGAGTCCTCATGCTTCTAATCTCTCTGACTTTTCCTTCTGTCTCCTCTTTTGCCAGCAACCTGAGAAAGTTCTCTTCATTTCAGAGGTCATGTGATTAAATCAGATCCACTCAGATAACTTCCCTCTTGATGTGCAACATACAGGGCCTGGGGATTAAGGCTTGGACCTCTTTGGAAGGCTATTTTAGAAATCCTGCCCACCACACACAGTTTCTGATTTAGCAGGATTTATTGTTGGGGTTGTGGTGGTTCAGGGGTAGAATTCTCGCCTTCCATGCAGGAGACCCAGGTTCAATTCCTGGCCAATGAACCTCATGTGCAGCTACCACGCGTCCGTCAGTGGAGGCTTGTGTATTGCTATGATGCTGAACAGGTTTCAGCAGAGCTTCCAGATTAAGATTGACTAGGAAGAAAGGGCTGGTAATCTACTTTCTAAAATCAGCCAGTGAAAACCCTACGGGTCACAATGGTCTAATCCATAACACATCATGAAGATGACCCAGCACTGGGCAGCATTTTGTTCTGTTGTGCATGGGGTTGCCATGAGTTGAGAGCTGGCTAGAAAGCAGCTAACAACAACAACAGAGTGGTTAGGTTCTACAAGGATATTGTGTATGCTAAGGTAATAAAGTCCCTGTCCAAAAGATAGACTCGTAAAAATCATTTTCTTTTTTCTTGTAGCTAAACACAGGAGGAGAATTCTTTCCTCCAAAGCCTATCTTCCAATTTATATACATTTATACAGTAATTGGAGCCCTGGTGACACGGTGGTTAAGAGCTCGGCTGCTAACCAAAAGGTTGGCCATTTGAATCCACCAGGTGCTCCTTGGAAACCCTATGAGGCAGTTCTACTTCGTTCTGTAGGGCCACTATGAGTCAGAATTGACTCAACAGCAATGGTTTTTTTGTTTTTGTTTTTATATAGTGATTTTTTTTGTATATAATAATTATATATATACATTAGGTAATACTTATTAATATACATATTATATGATAATTATCATATACACTATTTAATAATTTTCTATGCATTATATTAATGTGTATATAATACATTTTTACCAAATTGTGATCATACCAGATTTGCAGTTTGCTTATTTTTTACACATTTGACATATTATATTTCCTACTTCTTATTAAATATTCCCTAAAGATTGATTTTTAATCACTGCATCATATGGTTTTATTTAACTAGCCCCATTTGGATGGATATTTATATCATGCTGAACAAATTTTACAAAAATCTTGAAGTTCATCTGTGCTCATTTTCTTAAAATGAGTGTCTAGGATCAAGAATACTTAATCAAACACTTATGATTCTTGCCATTGTATTGCAAAAGAAATTATCAAAGCTCAAACTGCCAACAAGCAATGTATGAAAATATCTGATTATTTACATACTTGCCAAAACCAGCTGTCCCCATATTTTTCATTTTTTTCCTATTTGGTGGGAAAATAATA